AATTTTACAATTCAATTAAATACTCAGGAGTATTTTAAATATTGAAACAGAGAAAGGCTAAAAAATACTCATATGATGTTTAACACCCATTTTTATAAGCTTGCAGCTTTGAATTCATCTCCAATTTTGAATTGTTTACCCATATAAATAATCTATAAAAATCATAGAGTTGATTAAAGGGCTTTTCAATATATAAAATATTCATAGTATTTTCATTACAAAGTAGACAGACCCATATAAAATCAACCTCCATTATGTAAATCAAGCTTAGGAACAATTCAGGAACTTTTCCTTTTAATAATATTAATAAATAAAAGTTCTTAAAAATAAAATTATGCATACACTAAATAAAAAAAAAATATTCTTTTGTATTAATACATTTCTTCTACACTTATTTTTGCAAGAGTAAAAATCAAAAAAAATATTAAGTAAATAATACACTAAGAATACTACCCAATGAGAAAATTGAATTATTTTAGATTTTTATTATAATTTTTTAAAGACTTTTTTTTCACTTTTCATCTATGAAAAAAAAATATGCACATGAAGTATGATGTACATTACTCCTACAGTGCACTACCAGATCAAACTCTTTCTGGAGATAATGAACCGAGAATGTAATGATTTAACTAATGTCTAATCTATTTTAAGATTACCATTGGGAATATTAACCAAGAACCATTATCTACAGCTACCAGAGTGTGAACTCTGTATAGGCCAGTATTCCTCTGAGTCACTGCATAATGTGTTATGCCCTGCAAGTCTTTAAAGAAACTATAATTTACAATGTCAACTATCTTGTAAAGCAAGGATGATATATGAATAGTATTTGGTGATGCAGAGCTATTTCAATCTCTGTTTTATCAAATTAATTAACTCAGAGAAAGTTCACCTTTCGATTTGATCATTTCATTTCAAAAGCAAGAGAAAATCACTCATCAAATAATGACTTCATGCAATCTTATATTATTTTAAGGTAGAACTATTTGTGTACATCATTAAAGTATAAAATGAAATGGTAATGACATCTTATCAAGAGCCCTCTGGCTCAGGGTGCATGACAATGATATAGCATTGAAACAAATAACAGTAAAACGTGCTTACAGCAAACACATACGCTAGCTTGTACATTGTATAATGAATTGATGCTTATAGCAAAGTGATTTTCATTTCCCTGCACTAGGTTATTTGATGATGCTTATAATTAAAGCAAAGTGACTCCCCATCAATTAGTAATACATATTCTGGATCTAAAGAATAAAGAATTAGACTTCTAATGATACCCCTCCCCCTCATTATAATTTAATAAAATGCGTTTTTTTTTTTTTTTTTTTAGTTTTCATGCTTGCATTTCCAAAATGTACAACCCAGATCATGAAAGAATTGATTTTTCCCTTAAGTTTCTGTTTGTCACAGGGTCACGCTCTTGTTCCTTCTGCAATTAAAACATGCATCGATTGAATCAATCCAAGTTAATTAAATATGTGATTTGCTACTGAAAAGGCACAAGAGCTTGGGGTGAGGAATTTGGCGGAATTAATTTCTTATTTTATAATATAGTGCACACAAATTAGTAAAATCATGCATATGGTCATACATAAATAGAAATTCACCTGTACACAACAAAACACTCAAAAAAAAGTCTCACATATATCAGCCAAACTGGTTGTATCTGATTGACTATGTGAGCCAATTCGATTACGGCACTTAATAAATTGTACAAAGCATATATTTAATTATAATTAAATTACAACTGTGACATGTTCAATTTTCCTTTGATGCCTAGGCTTTAGGCAAAAAATGCAGTGATTCTACCACATGCAGGTTGTTCCAGTCATGCCTTCCTAATTAACTGTTTTTAGAAAATTCTATATGCAATTTGTAAAACTTATTTATTTTTTAGGGAGTGGGTGGTTTAATAGTGGTTCAAAACTTTTAAAAGGACTTACAAAGGCCCATGGGAAGCAATTTTAGTTTTTTTTTTGGGGGGGGGGGGGGGGCAGAGCCATATACATATTTTTTTTATTTGGGGGCACGGTGTGTTCGCGTTTTGCACACATTTGATTTGGGGGCACTATATCAACTACAAAAAATTCTTAACAGAAAAAGGCCATCAAACTTTATTATTGAGGGGGCACAATTGAATGGTATAAGCCATATTTTCTATAGTGTTCTATATATCGGCAAAATTATTGGGGGGGGGGGGCTCCCCATGCCCCCCCCTTTTCCCGGTTCCTACGGCCATGTTACAGATTCATCAAGGAAACACTTCATAATATAATGTGAAAATTCCTTATTTTCTGGGTGCATTTATATAATATAAGTATGGAATTTTATGGTCTTGTTTATTAGAATTGTAGTCTTACTGATAGGTTGTGCATTATTACCGGCCGCCAGGAGGCGGTCGGTTATTTGATATGAAAGTTTAAAGTAGTCGTGCGTTTCTGCGGAGTTAAAAAAATAAAAGTATTTAATTAACAATCATATAGAATATTAATAAATAGTGTCTAAATGTTTAACAAAAAAGCATAAATTTAACTTGAATAAAAAAAAATGGGTACATGTTTTATCTGATCGAATCCTGAATTATGAACTCATATTAGTACACGTGTTGGGCATCACCTAAAGCAAAGACAAAGATATATATATATATATATATATATATATATATATATATATATATATATATATATATATATATATATATATATATATATATACAATGATTATTTTTTTCTTTATTTAAATAGAATTTATAATTGTATTTGTTTTAAAATGACGTATATATATACATTTCCTATCTGAAATTTTTAAAAATAAAATTTTCATTTCTTAAAAGAAAGAATATTACGAAATTTTTGCTCCAGCAGACGAGGATTCAGGGCGTTTTACAATGTTCAAAGCATTTTCCCGCCACAATTCAACACCAAAACAAAAGAAACTGTGGTGGCAGATCTAGAGGGGGGTCGTGGGGGTTTCAACACCCTCCTTTGGATTTGCTTGAGAGAGAGAGAGTGAGGGAGAGAGAGACAGAGAGAGAGAGGAGTCCCAAATATTTGTGAAGAAAATTAGGTTGTTGTTGAAACTCCGCGCCTGCAATGTGCATGCACTAGCTGTTTTATTTCACCAGGATAAATTAACAGATTAATATCAGATATATTAATAACAGATCACGTAATTCAGTTTGTTGCCTCATAAAGGAACAATTGGTTTGCGGCCAATATGTTTCTTGTTTTTATATTGAAGGAGATCATACACGTATCAGTGAATTGTTTGTGTCTGAGTTGATGAAGGCGAGTTAATGTTCCTAGATGCATTGAGGGCCTAACTGTAATATTGAGGGAATTAATGGTATGTCTATTTAGCTGTAATTTACACAGCTGTTAGATTGATTTGACTGAGTTGTATTAAATTCAATCTGATGAAGTTTTAAGAGGTCGGGAAATGCCAAGTTTATTAATGGAGTTAATAATTACTAGATATAATTATTATCGCTGCAGAAGTAGGTTGATCAGTTAGAAAGTTTTATTGGTTTGATAGAAGAGTTTTCCATGAAATACAGCAAAAAGTAATTGACCTAAAGACGTAAACAAATCACTGGCCAGCTTGTGGCTTTGATTTAGTTTCTTAGATAACAGATGCTTTGAAACAGATACATCTAAACATTTAAGAATGTTATAGTTAAGATTTTTTTTTTTACAGGATATTAAAATCAAGCAAGTCATGAAGTACTGTCAATTTAATTAGTAGCCATTTATTTTTACTGCTGATACATGGTGGGGGATTGTGAATTAATGCATGATGGTGATCCCTGCATGAAATTGTTCAAAATTTTACCATATTTTTTTAGTCACTGTCCCCCCATCCCCATTTTTAAAATTCATATGGGAATGTTACCATGCTTACAAAATTGATTAAATGTTTTTAGAAGTCCCTTCAAAAATCTTATTGCATTTTAATATTACGCAAAACTTAGTATTCCTTCTGAATCAGATTTTTTCATTTAAAAACATTTTAGAAAATAAGTGAAGTTGGAGATTATCTTGATCCCTTTACTGAAAACTCCAATAAAATTCCTGATTTTTCTCATACAAGAAAAGAAAAATATTTTCTTTAAATTAATATGCATGGACATGCATGTTCATCCTACCTATATATCTCCAAGTAATATGTAAAAAGTTTCTAGTTATCAACTTCCTAAATTTGCAAACTTTATGCAAGCAGTGTTAAGTTTTAATAAGAAAACATACCTGATTTTTTAAAGGTTCTCCATCTTTCTACAAATGAATGTCTACTGCTAAGATGTCCAGCAAATAAGCTTGAGTATTCATTGTCTTCTGCATGGAAATCCTCAAGACGCATAATTTTGTCGAGGCCATTCATCATAATCTAAATAAATGAATAAATTCCTTAATATTTCTCTGATTTTTTTTTGTACCAAACTTGAACTCATTAGCTTTACCTGTAGATTAAAAAACTAATAAGGAGTTGTGTCAGTTACAAAAAATAAGCATTTCTTTCTAAAATCATTTATAAAAATATAATTGATAAATCGGAGTCTTTTTTTTTTTTTTTTTTTTTTTTTTTTTTTTTTTTTTTTTTTTTACACATCTGTGGTCTTTGATGTAATCCTTTTTATTTTAAATATATATTTTAGCCTATTATACCTTGATGCATCCCTTGTTGTTGGCAGCTGCAATATCCCATACTTTTCCAACTATGCTGCCTTTCTGTTTCATAAATACTGCATTTTCTGACTTTGAAATGAACCACATATTGCACCTTGTCAGATCGAGGTATGGATGACATGTGCTGCATACACGGGTCTGGAATTGCATGCTCACAGAAAGCACGCCCCTTAATCTTATCAGTATATGAGTCTGATTGACATTTCTCCACTGAAAGCATGTAACTGCAGAAGGTGGTAAAATTGGAGATGAATTAGAACCAAAAAAAATTTAACTGCAATATGCCATTTCATTCAAGATATTTTTAGTGGAATGGATGACAATATTTTTTCTGAGCATTCTATTATTGAATCACAGGAATATGAATCATCGTTAGGTCATGGTATTCGTACTGATTGTTTAACAGGATCACTGCAAGAATTGTCCGAATTTGAAGAATCTGATGAAATATCTACTCATACTAACCGTGATGTATTTTCATTCTGTGATGACACGCCTCCTCCTGTTCAAGCGTTTTATATACGCGAAGAAGATTTGTATGAACAATCAAGTGAGATAAGTAAAGAACTTTCTCTTATATCATCCGATTTACAAACAAGTGGATGTTCCACCGATTCAGAGCCATTTGGAAATTTACATTTTATTGAGCCTTTAATGAGCAGTACGCCTAAGAAACATATTAAAGGTATGTATACTTAATATAAATTAACTTCATTCATACATGTATATGATCATAAACTTCAAATAAATATGCTTAGTTTGCTTAAGAAAATTATAATAATTTTTGTTATCAACACATCACTGAACCTTTATATAATTTTTCAAGTAATACAAGGTAGATGTATTTTAAATTTGTATCTAAACTATGGTTAGATAATATGGCTAATTATATGATAGGTATACAAGTTTATAAATGATTGCAGAACTAAATCATTATCTGATTTAATGCCAAAAAATCATTGAAGATGGGAATTTTAACAAGCCCCAAAATTTGCAAACACAGCAGTACACATATGTAGCATATGATTTTGAGAAGGGGCTATCCAAGATTTAAAGTTATAAGAGTACAAGCTGATTGGGGAGGGATCTGGAGGTCCTGAATTCCAGAGATCTTGTTAGGAAAAAAATAAGTCATTTTTAAGTTAAGATAAAATTTGTTATTTTTTCCTCATTAAAAATGATGGAAAATAATAAAATTTCAAATGACATGTATAAGGTCTATAGAATCAAAGACGTGTAAACCAAATGGGAGCTTCTGCCTTGCAGAAATATAAGAAATGAAGACTATTTATTTATAATGAACATGCCTTCATCATTGAAAGAAGTGTAAATTCATTTTACAAGTTAACTGTTTAAGAAAGACAGTCTGAGTTCTGGATTCAGAAAAATGATCAATAGTGTACATTTTATTTTTTTTTAAGTTCAGATTTTTTTTAACAAGGGTAGAAATCTATTAAGGAAGATAATGAAATTTTATGTATTATTTGGAAGGGAGAGAATGGATCTCTGAGACTTGGTGTTAATTCAAAGTTTATGACAGAATTTTCAAGTAGAATTTTCACACTCATCCAGTCCAAGTGTAGTACTGATGAGGTAAATTAGTATTTTTTAACAGCAGTAAACTAGACTTATAATTGGAAATACAGAAAAACATGGACTGCAATAGAAAGTTACAGAATTTGTCAGGTCCAAGGGAACCTGGGGCAGGGAAAAAAGCAAAAGAAAAACAATAAAGATGTGCCATTAATAATTAAAAATTCTAATTAATATTACCTGATGACTTTCTTTTGAATGAAGATTTTACCCCCCCCCCCCCACACACACACACAATCCTGTTTGTAAAGTTTAAAATGAATAAATTATATGAATAAAGCTACCCGTAAAATGTACATAAATGAAAAGAAAAAGACAGTTTACATATATCAAAGATATCTGCTGAATCAGTATACCGAGGTAATTCTCTCAAGGTCTCAAATGAAAACATACGTATTTTGTGCTAAATAAATTAAATTAGAAATCATGCTATTAAGAAGTTAATTTATGTGCTTCACAGATTTAACAAAAGTTATTTACAATTATGTTATATGCTTTCTCAATGTTTATTTAATAAATCATATAATTCAAAACTTTTATTTTAAAATTTTTGTATCCTCTTACTTACACTCTCTCTTTTCAAGTTTGTGAAATGAAGGGCCACACCCTCTTTCATAGTGAGATACTGAAGATAAATCAATGACATATTTCTAATCTTCTTCTCAAGACCCATTTTGCCAGAGTGCAAGCTATATTGTGCTATAGTGCATTCAAATTTGTTCAAATCATGACCCTCAGCTATAGGATGGGCCAATTAATCTTCTTTCTATCTTTAAAAATCTTCTCAAGAAGAGCAAAAGCAAGGTTATATTTTCATTTTGTTTGGAAGCATCCTCAGGTAGTGTACAAATTATGACCCCCGGAGGTAGGTTGGGACTGGATAGGTGATCCAAGCTTGTCAACATAGAAATTTATACATCATGTACATAAGGAAAATCTTCTTCTCTAGATTCTTATGATTTGTTGTATTTATTAATACATATAAACATCCTCCAGTAGTGTGGATTTAATTTTGTTCAAATCATGCCCTTGGGGATAGGTTGGGGCCACAATGGGCAATCAAAGCTCGATGTAGGAATATACATGTGTATAGAGAAAATCCACAATGGCCATAGGAAATCATGTGAGCACTATGGCCCATGTACCTCTTGTTCAAGATCTCTCAACTCTGAACATAGTATAAATCAATAACTTCTTGTATTATGCAATCAAATTATTAATAATTATATTTCAGTTGCTCTGTCATCAAGATCTCGACTTCAAGAAAAAAAGATCTCCAAAAGCACTATTAAAAAGGCCTCTCTAGATCAGTGTTCTTGTCCAAAGAAATGTACTAGGCAGAGCTTTTTCACAAAAGAATTAATTGAAAATTGCCATTCGACATTATGGAGATTGAATACCACAGATAGGCCAAAATGGTTTCAAAGAAAGTTTGATGACTTTCAATGTGTAAAAAAGGGAACCTTTAAATTCATTCTTAAAGGCCACAGGGTTTGCTTGAAGAGTTGGTTGATTGCTTATGGGATTAAGCAATCAATCTATTACAAGGAACGAAGAACATGGTTGAGGAAAGAAGTGCCACCCTCTAACGAAAGAAGGCTAACATCAGAAAAAAGACTTCATGTTATCAATTGGTTTGGAGAATATATAGCGATGAGAGGAGAAAATCCACCTCACATCCAAGAAATTTGGCTGCCCTTTGGTTTAAGAAAAAATGAAATTTATGCTGGGTATAAAGTGGATACAGAGGAAGAGAACAGAGCTTGTGTATCTCTTCAGACTTTCCTCAACATATGGAATGAACACTTTCCACATGTGAAAATTAAACAGGTGAGCAATTTTCCTATTTTAACAATTGTGTAATCACAGACTACAAGTTCATCATTTCTAAGTAGTATTATATAAATCTTTTGTTTGATCAATTCATATCATTGGATACCTCTATGTATTACAGAGCAACTTGTTTACTCGATGCACTACATGTGACAAGCTTGACAGAGAACTGCACAAGCAATTGAACCCAGAGAAAAAAAAGGAAATTTTTATAAAGAAGCAAGAACATCTTCACAGACAAATGTAAATACATAATGTATCAACTTCTTATTTACAATGTAGCATAAATCGCAAGTATATGTAGTACTGCGTAACAATGAAAAAATCTGTCATCAACTCAAAGTGTAATTCAAGTTAATCTCTGAGCTTTAATACATGAATTGATGTACAGTATGTTTTTGAATTTTTCATAACAGAATTTAATAAGGAACTTATCGAACAGACTTAGTAACACTAAAAATAAATAAATTGCTTAATGTTATTCACAGTTTTCCATTCATACTATAACAATGCAACAATGATGTTGTTGTTTGTGATGTATGCATAATTCATAATTGATATAGCAAAATTCAAAATACGCGCACATAAAATATGCTGATCGAAGAAATATTGATTTAATCTGCAAGTTAAAACTTTTCTATCGAATAATTATTTTTTAGGAAAGAGAAAAGTGCATATTACAGACGAAAAACAGTAAGCAGAAGAAGACCAGATAGGTACATAAGCCTCATAATTGATGGAATGGATCAGTCCAAAACAAACATTCCCCATTTTAAGGGAAGACCAAGCAAGGTACAAATAGTACATATTATTAAAGAGAAAACGTTGTTACTAAGTATCTACCTCTAACAAGTGAATACAAAAAATAAATGAAAGATATTAGGCCATAATGAAAATATTTCTAAATTGTCATTCCCACCCTCCCCTATTTGTCCACCCCTAGTTTTTCTTTGTCTTGATTCTGATCGGGATCGGTATTCAAATAATCCCACAAAGGTCGGTCTGAAAATTTGACAACTGACCGTCTGACAAGATGGTAATAGATCGTAAGTAACAAGGATCATTGGTTGTGAAAGATTGGTAAGGATGTATAGTAAGAGACATGAACATTTAAATGGAGCAATGTGAATTTTATTTGGGCATTATTATTTATATTTACTTTGCACCGATAGATCAAGTTAACAAGAAAGTCTGGAAGAACAAACTGAACAATATGAAATAAAATCCCCCACCTCAAAAGAATTGAATGAGAATCTAGGATTTTCAATTAAGTAATTCATCTTTTTTAGCCAAGTACGTGTTTTCGATCATGCACCCCCCCCCCCCCCCCCACCCTGTCAGAATTTTCCCATCAAGTTTGTTGATTAGAGTTTGTTAATAAATTATATAAGTATATTTGACTTGAAATAAGCATTTATTTTTGTAACAATACATTGTATCTCTTATTCTTTACTCTATGGTCAGGTATTAAAACAATGATCTGCAAAATAGTATGCCATTTTCTATAATATAGCACTCACAGTGCACATAGTGTGATCAGGATTCTTTATTGCAGATACAACTAATCATACACATTTGCACCCTAAAAAAAGACCGCACAAGATCTGCTTTTTAATTATTTTTCAAAAACATTTTAAAAAAAAAATGCAAGCATTGTCTATACATATATGTATGTGGTATGACTTGTATCATTTTTGCCCATGTGACACAGTGGTAGCTAGAGCAGACTAGTAGAGCATCTGCTCTAGACTGAAAGTACTAGAGTCATGGATTAAGGAGTTGATCCTTATGTTGTGGGTTCGAATCCCACTGTGGGACTTAGAGACCAGTCATTCAGTTGAGACCGTATAAACCGAGGTCCCGTGTCACAGAAGATGCTGGCACGAAAAAGATCCCTAACTTCTCAATGGCTCTGAGTGCCAAGCATAGGGCAAAATTTACAGCTCTTCACCAACAAGTGGTAGCATCTCCATATGAGTAAAAAATTCTTGAGATGGACGTTAAACAACAAACAAATTTGACATCACATTATGTAGACAATTCCAACTTTTAATAATACCATAGCCAAGGGTTTGTGAAAAGAGTAGTACATCAGAAACCCTTGGTTACAAAGGTCAACGTGCTGTTATTGTAAGATTTTGAAATAATGATACAAAATAAATGCTTCAAATCAATAACTTTGAATGGTTCGATTCTTCTTATATTATTTATCAAGGTAATATGTTGATTGTCAAGGTCTTGTATTGCGATGAGCAGGGATATTATTGGGAAGTGAAGGAGATAAAATTTTAAGAAATACAGAAGATAAAAGCAAATGTTTACTTTTTTATGCCTCACTGCCCTTCCCTCTTTTATATTTGATTCTCATTATAGGAATTTGCAGCAACAAGGCAACTGAATGTGCATGTTACTGGAGTTTTGAGCCATGGCCTGAATAGAAAATATCTGTTTACAGACCTGCACCAGTACAAACATGATTCCAATCTTACATTGAATGTTTTGATGAAAGTGCTATGGAACCACTCAAAGGTAGCAAACAGAAATATTGATTACAATTATCTACTGTGTATCAATCAGCTATGAGAAATTTGAAAAAATGTGTTTCTTACACTGACAGGGAAAATCATTGCCTCCTGTCCTTTACCTACAGGCAGACAACTGCTTCAGAGAAAATAAGAACAAGTTTGTCCTGTCTTTCTTGGAGCTTTTAGTCAGGCGTCGGATTTTTTATGAGGTACATGTTAATAAGCATTTTGCAGACTCTGTATTAAGATAAGTTTTATAAATTTACAGTACTGGCAAAGGATAGATACAGAAAAATGCTATGAATAAATACAACTTAGTTTTTTTTTTAGGTAAGCTGTCTGATTTGATAAAGCATTTAGAGGATATAAACATAGGTAATCAAAGATTACGAAGCTCACCTTGACGAATGTTATCTACATGTAAGGCAAATTTCACATCATATTTTTTTTCTAGTTAGGGTACATCCCAAGATCAATATCCATGCAAGTTTGATTTAATTATAGACCTGCTCAAAAAAACTTTTGACCTGTTTAGTAATCAAGAAAATTTTGGTCAGTTCCAACATCCAAAGCAAGTCTGGAAGTTTTCATCCTTAGATGCACCATCTATGCAAGTTAAATCATAACAGGCCATAATATTATATAGCTACTCCAAAAAAATTACCCTGGTCACTCTTCTGGAAAATGTACATCAGATTCAGAATCCAAGGCAAGTCTGGAAGTATCCATCCCTAGATACATCATCCATGCTAATTTGGTTAAAATATGGCTAAAATTCACTCATGTGGAAAATCTAGGTCAGATCCAGCATTCGAAGCAGGTTGGTTAGTGTACATCCCTAGATGCATCATCCATGAAAGTTTGGTCCAGGTAGGGCTTATAGTTACTTGGGAATGAGACTACTCCTAAATCTAAACCTGGTCTCACATGTGGAAAATCTAGATCAGATCCAGCATCTGAACAAGTGTGGTAGTGTCCATCCCTGGATGCATCATCCATGCAAGTTTGGTCCGGGTAGGGTTTATAGTAACTTGGGAATGGACCTGCTCCTAAAACTTTAACCTGGTCACTCATCTGGAAAATCTAGGTCAGATCCAGCATCCGAAGCAAGTTTGGTAGTGTCCATCCCTAGATGCATCATCCATGCAAGTTTGGTCAAGGTAGGGCTTATAGTTACTTGGGAATGGACCTGCTCCTAAAACTTTAACCTGGTCACTCATCTGGAAAATCTAGGTCAGATCCAGCATCCGAAGTAAGTGTGGCCATGTCCATCCCTAGATGCATCATCCATGCAAGTTTGGTCAAGGTAGGGCTTATAGTTACTTGGGAATGGACCTGCTCCTAAAACTTTAACCTGGTCACTCATCCGGAAAATCTAGGTCAGATCCAGCATCTGAAGCAAGTGTGGTAGTGTCCATCCCTAGATGCATCATCAATGCAAGTTTGATCCAGGTAGGGCTTATAGTTACTAAGGAATGGACCTGCTCCTAAAACTTTAACCTGGTCACTCATCTGGAAAATCTAGGTCAGATCCAGCATCCGAAGCAAGTTTGGTAGTGTCCATCCCTAGATGCATCATCCATGCAAGTTTGGTCCAGGTAGGGCTTATAGTTACTTGGGAATGGGACTTGCTCCTAAAACTTTAACCTGGGACGCCGACGCTAACGCCGACGCCGACACCGACGCCGACGCCGACGCCGGGGGTATAGCATAAGCTCATCTCGACTTCGTCGAGGTGAGCTAAAAAGGGATTTAAGGGGGGGGGGGGATTTAAAAGGGGGGGGGGTTTCAAAGCCCATCCTAGGATTTAAGTGCTTATATTTTTTAAAATCAAAATCTTGATATTTCAGGTCCAACTTTCCTTTCTTCATGTGGGGCACACACATGAGGATATAGATCAAATGTTCAGTGTCATTGCTGATAATCTCAGACACAGAGATGCAGCAACACTCCCTGAGATGAGTGACATACTCTACAATGCAGAAGAACTAAGAGGATGTCTTGATATATCTGGATGGTTATCTCCTTGCTTAAAAGGTGTAAAATACCACACAAGGACAAACACCTTTAGGTGTGTTATATTTTAGATAGTAAATTATATGAACATATTTATAGACACTAGTCTTTAAGGAAGGGATTGAAAAAAATGATGTTTTTTCTCCAAAAGCCTGCTTCCCCGAACTCCTCCTACATTTTGTGCAGTAGACTAAACATCTTTTGAAAGATGATTGGTGGTGTCTTGTATCAGAAAGTAAGAAAAGACATCCAACCTGTCAAAAAAAATTTTCGTACTAAACTAATAGTAAAAAATTATGTTAAGAAAAAAGGTGTGGGGAGGAGTGTAGCACAATCAGAGTATTAGGAATTATTCAATCATATAATAAATGATACTAGTTATACATCTTTAAGAGTCATTCACTGTGAGAAGATTCAGCTTGACATTCACAAAAAGATTTACAAAATGTAGTTGGTTGAGCCTTTGTCTTATATTTTAATAATAAGAGGTTATTATGGAGTGAAAATGTTTACGGTTGTCTGCTAGATACAATATGGAAAGAAGAAAAAAATCATAACAGAAGTAGAATGAGACAAAATGAGCTAATGGATATCTCCTTCATATTTATTAAGGTATAGACTCAATGAGTTGACAGGGGATGTGCACATCTGCTACAGAAAAAATGTGGACCATTCCTGGAAGTCTTTGCAGGGAAGTTTCTTCAAGCAAAGGGAAAATGGAACCCTAACGCTGCCAACAAATGTACCAAATATATTGACAGCATCATTGGAGAAGGTTGATGTAGCAAATATCAAGAAGAGTTTGACAATTTGGACAAAGATGATGACAACAGCAGAAAGTACATGGTGGGAAAAATTTGTAACATTCTTGCAGGAAACCAAAACCAATGCCAGTAGGTATTCAAGAAAAGGGGCAATATGGTATCTTCCAAAGATACCAGAATACAACCCACACTCCATTCAGGACTCTGACAACAGCAGGGAACATCCAGCAGTGCCTGAAGATTTGCAGAGAATGCTTACAAATGAAGATGAAAATCCAGAGGTAACTTTACTTTTGTATGAATTTATGATTTGTATTCATGATCAGAGGTGTCTGGGTAGTGCACTGGTAGTGCGCTAACTTCTCACCGTGTAAACTGAGTTCAATTCCTGTAATTGGCAGAGGTTGTATGTGAAAGGGTATCGTGGTCGCCTGCTCATTGGAAATATCTTTCAAGCTTTCATGGACTATCTTTATTATCATATATATATTAGGGATGTCAACGAGTACCCAATTAACTGGGTACTCGATCCAACGTCCGAGTATCCAATACTAAAAATGGTACTCAGTTACTCGGAAGAGTATTTTTTCTTATTTCAAAGTACATATTTTTATAAAAAATTATCAAAAAATAACTTAAAACTGCACACAGTTATTAGCGTGTTGTCATCTACACCTGTAAAAAACCTGTTATCGCCTGTGGCTGTGTATATACAGTAATTAGTGACCAATCTCCTGGTACACAGCTGTTCTCACCTATTGTGGTCCTTAATTTTTGGATGGCTTCAATGAATGCTTACAGTGAACATTGATTCGATTAAGTATGAGCTATTATCTTCAAATCATTTTTAAATTATTTAAGTAATATATGGCAGTGAAATCGGACATGCATAGAAATGCCGCTACCCACTTCAAAAGTGAAACATTTAGAAATATCAAAAGATTCAAAATAATGTTGAAAGTCAGTTTGTGTAGTAAGTTTATACGGGGGTAACAAACCAACTTAGACTAGTGATCCCAACAACGTCCGTTCCTTCCCTTTCGCTAGTCTAATCATCACAAACTTGTGTAACAAACTGTTCTCCTATTGCATTGATGAGAAAGATCCTAAACAAGAACTGTAAGCCATTTGAATTTTGGTGTATTAATTGTGTCTTTTGTGTTTATTTGATGAATAAATTTAGTACCAAATAATCAATTCCATTGGAGTCCATGTTTATATACATTTATAAACGAGATAAAAACAGTTTTGGGGTTTAACAGAGCTTAACTTTGCTCAAGAAAATTAACGCACTTGTATTTACATCTTTTTTATATTTACCAAGTACCCGGGTAGTCGATCAGAAAAACGTCTGAGTTACCGATTATCAAAAATTGACCGATTTGACATCCCTAATATATATATATATATATACAGTTACACTTCGTTATCTCGAAGTTGACGGGACCGTTGATGAACTTCAAGATATCCGGGGGTTCGACATATCGAGGGTTATAATTCTAATGAACTTCAAATAAACTTAGTGCAGTGAACATGCACTTAATAGTAGAAACATGTCAAATTCATTCTTTTTTGAAATTCTGTATATGTTTTCTTTAATATACACGTAATTAGCATTAAAAAGATTTTTACATCCTCTTTATTATTCAAAAAATAGAAACTTTGTATAATATGCACAGACGTATAATCCCTCTACCAACCCGGCAAATCAACCGCTAGCATCGTTTCCCATGTATACATAATCGGATATCGTCTATGCATTATAAATTTAAAACCAGTCGCTGTCAGAATAACGCAAATATACAATTTTTTTTTATTGGAAAAACATGTTCATACATGTGCAATCATTTAAATAAAATATTTTACCATAATAAAATCAAATGCAAAAGACGAAACATGCACTTTTGTTTAATTACAGAAGAACACTGAATCACAGGGCACTATAGCAGAAGTTTTCACTACCACACTTGCTCACATGATGGTGTCTACTGACGGTTGTAAATTCTGCGCGCTCATATACACATGTAAGAAAAATAAATTCTAATTGCATTAAAATACAGAATTTTGTTTCACTTTGATGTTTATAATTTTCGCGTTCATATGCATAAACTATGCAAGGGCGCATATAACGCATAGCATTAAATAGCGATTATCAAGATAAACGTACCCCAGCCATGAAACAATTAACATGTCATCCACGCATATGCATAAACTAATACACACAACCTTTGGCTTGCATAATTAAAATCAAGGTAAGCCATACATACACCTCGTATAATTATCGCGCTTTTATTTGTTGATCAAAGGAACACAGGTAACCCGTGCATGACAGACAGTAGAGCGGTCAGTTTACCTAACGGACTTGATCATCAGAGCGGAATATTATCCTGACTTCGAGATAACGCATGTGATTTTAATAAATGGGTACACAATTTTACTTTGAGATAACCGGGGTATTCAACATTACCTTGTTCGACATAGAGGGGTTTATTTTAATCATTTTATATAAAGCAAATTTCATAGGGACCGCGGCCTTACTTCGACATATCCGGGGTATTCGAGATATCCGTGTTCAAGATTTCAAAGTTTAGCTGTATAGATATATATGTGTGTGTGTGTGTGTGTGAATATATATATATATATATATATATATATATATATATATATATATATATATATATATATATATATATATATATATTTATATATATATATATATATATCATGTATATATATATATATATATATATATGGAATCACCTTCAACCAAATACACCTTGATAATTGAATCTTAGATTTAGGCCATGGAAATACACAACATATATTTTTACCAAGTTGGCAGATTTTTTAAAGGTTAATTTAAGTTGTTGTGCAAAGTGTATTATGCAGGTGTCATAACAGTAGTTCACTTGAGGTTCATGTCAAATCATGGCTGACGCAAAATAATTCCTGAATCTTCCCTTCCAATTCGGGCATTTCAACACAAGACTGGAGCTGATTTTTTTCATGAGATGAAAAACAATATGTTAACCTCCTGTATTGACTAGATTCATTATAATTTAGGGCGTGCTGATTTTTCTATATACTGTATTTGAGTGGGGAGTGATTAGGTCCTGGACTTGATTTTCAAGCACCTGCTCGACTTCGACCGAAAGAAACTTGCGTGCCTTGAGGGATGGCTATGTATTATTTGGTACTAAAATCTTTATAAGAATTGTTTTACAAGATCTGAAAAGGAAACTTCTCAAAGTTTGTTTTCAATTAATACCACCTACTCAAAGTTGTGCATTTTTGGTAAGAAAATTTAATACTGTTGTACAACCTTAGGCATATATTAATTTAAGACAATTTTAGTTTTTAGCTCACCTGAGCCAAAGGCTCAAGTGAGCTTTTCTGATCACTTTTTGTCCGGCGTCCGTCTGTCTGTCCACCTGTTTGTCTGTCTGTCTGTAAACTTTTAACATTTTCGACTTCTTCTCAAGAACCACTGGGCCAATTTCAACCAAACTTGCCACAAAGTATCCTTGGGTGAAGGGAATTCAAGTTTTTTCAAATGAATGGCCACGCCCTCTTTCAAGGGGAGATAATAAAGAATTAGTGAAAAATTAATAGCATCTTTAAAAAATCTTCTTCTCAAAACCACAGGGCCAGGAAAGATGAAACTCATGTGGAAGCATCCTCAGGTAGTGTTGATTCAAGTTTGTTTAAGGATACACCAAAGGCTTTTTTCAAGATTTTCAACAATTTTGAGATTTTTGGTTAAGAAAAAGAAGTTAATTACTGCTTTATAATGCATGTAAAATTCTTGGTAATTATGAAATGGTTTTCTAATTATTTAACAATAATGAAACATAAAGACTACCACATGTGAATGTTCCCTTATTGAAGCTTCTGATTTGATCTGTGACTGCTAGCTCATGAAAGACGCAATAAATCACTGTGACCACTTGGGGAATTCTTCACTAGCCACACAGAGGTTATCAGTAATTAAACTACAGGGACTCTAGATTTAGAGAAGGAGATCTAACAGATTACTAATGACCATAAAATAGGAGGTGGAGCTTAGCTCTTGCCAATTTGCCGGGAAATCTTTCTGATTCAGAATTGAACCTATTTTACTTAATTAAAAGCATCTAAATACAGAAAGGAACCTCCCATTCTTGTGAATATGCATAGGAAATATGGCTAAGTGACAGGTATCCAAAGCTGAATCTCCAAGGTGTCATATATTCCTAGCTTTGGCAGATTTTGTTGTGTAATGGGTTTTTGCCCTCTACTGTAAAGTAAGATCAGACAGTTTGTGGTATTATTTCAAAGGATTCAGCTCCCTTATTTATTGACCAATTTCTCTGAAAATTGGATGGGTTGCTTCTCAAATGCGTGTTCACAAAACCGTATCTCAGATTTTTGATATCTAGCTTAGTTTTGGAATTATTGAGGGAAATGTTAAATCAGGCTAATAAATTGGTGATATTGAAGGGCAAATGGCTGTAACTTTTGAATTAGAATATTTATCAAAAATCTGAGATACAGTTTTAAAGTTCAATCTTTAATCTACCTTGAGGCAAAATGACCACTTTGAGGGGTTAAATACAAAAAAGTTGATTTATAAAATATTTATGCACTTAAATTTACATTAATATTCAAATAACTTTTAAATAAGTTATTAATTAAAGTTTAAATTAGGATAATTAGATAGTAAATTTAACAAGCTTTCAAATGATATATATACTTTTATTATGTTATCTTAGATAATGAAAGAATTACATGCAAATTAAACTCTGGCTTTTGGAAACCTTTGGTGTATCCTTAAATCATGACCCTGGGGGTAGGACAGGGCCACAATGGAGGATCAAAGTTTTACATAGAAATACATAGGAAAAACCTTTAAAATATTCCTCTCGAGAACAGCAAAGCCATGATGAGTCATATTTATATGGAAGCATCCTCAGGTAGTGTAGATTCAAGTTTGTCCAAATCATGACCTCTGGGGGTAGGGCAGGCCCACAATGGAGGATCAAAGTTTTACATAGAAATATATAGGAAAGATCTTCTTTTCAAGAACAGCAAAGTCATGATTAGTCATATTTATGTGGAAGCATCCTCTCGTAGTGTAGATTCTATTTTGTTCAAATCATGACCCCCAGGGATAGGGTGGGGCCACAATGGAGGATCAAAGTCTTAAATAGAAATATATAGGAAAATATCTACTTCTGAAGAACTGCAAAGCCATGATTAGTCATTTTGATATGGAAGCATCCTCAGGTAGTGTAGATAGTGTAGATTCGAGTTTGTTAAAATGATGACCCTTGGGGATAGGGCTGGGCCACAACGGGGGATCAAAAATTTTACATAGGAACATATAGGAAAATATCTTCTTCTCAAGAACTGAAAATCATGTTTACCGGTAGTCATTTTGATATGAAAGCATCCTCAGGTAGTTTAAATTCAATTTTGTTCAAATGAACACCCCCGGGGGTAGGGTGGAGCCCAATGGGGGGGTGTGTGGAAAGTTTTACATAAGAACTTATAGAAAAAATATTTCTTCTCAAGAATTCTGAACAGAAAAGCTTTGTTTAGTCATATTGATATGGAAGCATCCTCAGGTAGTGTAGATTCAAGTTTGTTCAAATGATGACCTGTGGGATAGGGAGGAGCCACAATGGGGGATCAAATTTTTACAAAGGAATATATGGGAAATTTTTTTAAAAAATCTTCTCAAGTACAACAAAGCCATTTGTTATATTGACATGGAAGCATCTTCAAGTAGTTGAAAATTCAAGACCCCCCTCCCCCGGTAATCTTTTCAATACTGAACTGATTTCTGCTTTTTCCTAGCCAAATTGCTCAGGTGAGCGATGTGGCCCTGGGCCTCTTGTTCACTATATGAGTTAATCCATATATTTTGCTGATTCCCTGAAAATCACTGTATAACAGACTGATTCCCTGCAAAAAGGTGCATCAGTTTGATGAACTGATACACACCTATTTGGAACATCTAGCAATTTCTTTTAATCATATGAAAAGTACTGATATGTTCCAAATAAAATCGTGAATATTCATAATGAAGCTTAGTTAAAGATATATATAAGGAGGCGGGGCCTAATTTTTGGGAAAGAGTAATTTGTTATTGTGTCATCAACATGGTAAACTAATGTGCACTGTGAGATCTAGACGGACCATGTAATTTTGTCACAGTGTACAAGTGAATGAAATGACATCACTGGGGTAACACCTGAATCTTGTAAAATCAATGAAGAAATTGAAGTTACACCATGGTGTAAATTGTTTATAAAATAAATAAAGTTTCTTGCAGATACATAGTTTATAGACAGTAGATTCAAATGCAAAGACTATATTTATTTTTTTCTATATTATGAGTAATCAATGTTTCCATAGCGCACCTCAAAATTGTATGTGAATAAAATAGGATTGCAGTTACGGATTTTAAAATAGTCTAATTTTGGTTTTGTTATAATAAAAATGACTGTGCTTCAGGAAATGCACTTGCTCTTGGGGGACTGGAATCTTCTTGACTCCCTCAATGATATACTTTAACTGTATACTGTTATCTATGATTTTATATAATACTTGTAAATTCATTTTTCAGGTTCTCTTGTGTGAGTAAATGGAAAGAAATGTATGGACACCTTCAACATTGCGAATAGGATACTTGTGTAAAATCCTCTGCATTGCATAGCATACTTATCTGGTTCACCTTCCAACCAAGAGTGAAACATGTTACATGAATGCTGTGAAAGAAGGAACACTAAAGTACATGTGTAAATGTAAAAAATCCTTCAGCATAACATTGTTTATGCATCTGCAACACCTGTCAATTAAATTTAAATAATTGGACAAATCAAAGCTAGAAATATACAAACAGTTTATGCTTCATTATGTAAATTACACTAAGTGGAATATGGAGATAAAGATATCCTTTGATTCATGTATTAAGTAAAAAACTGTAAAGTAGGGGAACATTCCTTACAGCTCATTGTGTTAAAGATTCAGGTATATATTGAGTTCATTTGAAATTGAGAGAAGAATGTTCCTCGCATGGCTCCTTGTTAAAGATTCATGTATATACCTAGTTTGTTTGAAATTGGGAGAGGAACGTTCCTCGCAGGGCTCCTTGTTAAAGATTCATGTATATATTGAGTTCATTTGAAACTGGGAGAGGAACGTTCCTCGCAGGGCTCCCTGTTAAAGATTCATGTATATATTGAGTTCATTTGAAACTGGGAGAGGAACGTTCCTCGCAGGGCTCCATGTTAAAGATTCATGTATATATTGGGTTCATTTGAAATTGGGAGAGGAACGTTCCTCGCAGGGCTCCTTGTTAAAGATTCATGTAGATTGAGTTTATTTGAAATTGGGAGAGGAACGTTCCTCGCAGGGCTCCTTGTTAAAGATTCATGTATATATATATTGAGTTCGTTTGAAATTGGGAGAGGAACGTTCCTCGCAGGGCTCCTTGTTAAAGATTCATCTATATTTTGAGTTCGTTTGAAATTGGGAGAGGAACGTTCCTCGCAGGGCTCCATGTTAAAGATTCTGATCATGTATATATTGAGTTCGTTTGAAATTGGAAGAGGAACGTTCCTTGCAGGGCTCCTTGTTAAAGATTCATGTATATATTGAGTTCGTTTGAAATTGGTAGAGGAACGTTCCTCGCAGGGCTCCTTGTTAAAGATTCATGTATATATTGAGTTCATTTGAAATTGGGAGAGGAACGTTCCTCAAAACACTGGGTTATAAGAATCATGTAATGGACTTCACAACTCTATCAAAGAGAGGAACATTCTTCAAATCACTGTTGGATAGGATTCATGTACTTTACATACATTTGAATTGAAGAGAGGAACGTTCCTCCAAATACAAGGTATTAAGATTCATGTTTATAATACAGAGAAATTTAAGAGAAAGAGGAACGTTCCTCAAACAGTTTTCTTTTAACATGAAACATGTTTTATAAACGTTGACTTTGTAGAATAAAAGATGCACAAGTTTAAATTTCATTGGTTTTTTGTGTTGTAAAAATGACTGGAGGAGCTGCATTATATGATATTGTGGCCTAAATGGCTTCAGATTTGAAATGTGGGGTTAAAAAAAAGGAATTTTGATTTTCCTTTTTTGATTTGGATTGTGTTATAATATACAGTACGCATAAGGGAGACCAAATGTATTATTACTGCATTAAGGTGACCAACTACTCTCCACATGTAAATCAGTATTCAACCGCTTTCACTAATAAATAAAAAAAATATGAAGAAATTAGTGATGAGACATCGGTTAATTTTCATAATCGATCATTGGTTGGAATTGGTTACTGCTTCTGATGCGATTTCACCGATTATAATCGGATTTCTTCATAGTTTTGTATACAAAAAGCAGACTATTACAATAATTTCATTTATTTCTTTAACATGAATATATAAAATACATAATATATTATTTTCTTTGTTGTTTTGCTTCTTTTACACTTTCTAGACCTAAAAATATTTACATTGGACACCCAACATGGCTGCCTAGCGGCAGAAAACGAACTTCAAAAAGTTGTGGGGGGAATTGATCACTCTATATTTAAGGTAAATGTTGACTAAGTTGCATATTTTATATCTCAAATAAAAGATACAATTAATATTTTTTGAATAAAAAGAATCAGCTGATTGATCAAACCAAAGAGCAAACACAGATTTGGCAGAAAAAAAATTCACCCGGGGGTAAATTGAATGGGTCGGTCGGGTTATTACAGGAAACAAAAATAATTTTTTTTAGGCCCTATATATGCATCTTCGGTTCTTAATCACCTCTGCTTCGTGCTAGTTGGCTAGTATCAGATGCAGATGCCATTTTCTTTCATTAAGAAGAAATAAATTTTAAACCAGAAATGGATAATTCCGGAATGTATTGTATTAGAAGTATGTTTCTGATGATCGATTATGAAAAACTATAATCGATCATCGAAATCAGTAGCATTTTTTTTGTCGACAATCGATGTTTTCTGATTATCGGTACAACACTAGAAGAAATTCCACGAACTTTTGGATCAACCCTCGTACATGTCAGTCATTAAATTTATATAATATACAGTATGCATAAGGGAGGCCAAATGTATTATTACTGCATTAAGGAGACCAACTACTATCCACATGTTAATCAGTATTCAACCACTTTCACTAATAAATAAACAAAATATGAAGAAATTCCATGAACTTTTGGATCAACCCTGGTACATGTCAGTCATTAAAGAACTAAGTACATTACGTATTATTCGAAGGCCCACGATTTTTCGTATTTTGATATACACGTTTGCAAAAATATAACTACTATGTACATGTAGAAGAAGATTGGTAGTTTTGATATATGCATAACAAAATTTTGCAAGTACGTTGATTAGAGGTATTCACAGGATTTAAACACCCGTTCTTTCTGGAAATTGCTATTTTTTCCACTATTTTTACAACAAATTCCCAAAATTGAAGTAGTGCACACCCCTCGAGCAAAATAAAACATATATATTTGAAAATAATTTGATAAAAGACAAGCAAAAATAATGGTAAGAATTTGCTCGAGGAATGTGCAGTATGTTAATTTTGACATTTCATGACTATTTCCGGTGGCGGATACCAAGTTAGTCGAGAGGCGAGTTCTTATCTAGGAGCAATTATAATGGTGTATTTCGTGTAATACATGTAATGTTAAAGAACTAGATTTATCATTGATTGGCCATAGTTATATTGCTCATACAAATATATTTGTCATGAAAATAGCATAAAAACTATATAAAAAAATGTTTTATAGAAATGACAAATTATGATTTTTTTTTATACAACTAAGCCTTACACTTGATAAATGTTGCCAGCAAGAAGGGAAGAGATCAATTCAATATACTAAAGCAATAAAATAAAAATGTTCAGCTGACAAATGAAATCACTAAAAGTATAATTGCAGAAAAGAAAATGCTTAAGGTCAAGATCTAGTAAATGAAAAGAGCCTACAGATTTCTCAAACTTGAGAAATAAATTCCTTTTATGATGCTTTATAACTAAAGCTCGGTCAAATAAGGTGTATCGGGGCATAATTTGTAGAAAAACAAGACGAAAAATCATTTTGTAAACCGTAATTTTCAATGAAAAATTAAGAAAGCCAGTCATGAATATGGGAGTTTTTTCCATATCAGACAAAGGAAATGTATCCAGATTGCCTACAGTCTCTCAGAAAACGGTAATTTGTATGTTCTTAGCCTCTTCTTTAAAATAATGTAAAATTGAATATAGGTATCGGGATTACTTTTCACATTATTTCAAATTGAATTCCATTAAAATACTTTATTTTCTTCATTATTCTATTTGAGCTGTAAAGTACGGGAAATGGAAAGTTTAAATTGTTTATGACGTCATAATGGATCTAGCACCAAAAACACAGTCTAAAGTCATTTACTAGATCTTGACCTTAAATCCTAGCCTTTATTTATCTTGCTACTGAAACGGCATAGTTGACGTCTGCATGTATGTAAATAAGTTACGCAATAAACTCAAAGATGACGTCACAATAGGTCCCCTTGCAACACATTTTTTTGGAAAGGGGGGGGGGGGGATAAATTCCCAATCTTTTGGATGCTGTTGGTCAGGACAGATCAGATTCATTAATATTCTGAAGTCTTGTATTTTCAGTCATTTATACAAGTGCACGGTTGATGTTTAATATATTTTTAGATTTATTATACATGCACAATATAAGCGTGTTGCATCTGCATATTGTAGACATTGCCGTTAATATTATGCAAAGCCCTATAAAAACAAAGGCTCATATTTCACCCAGTAAAAGAGCCACAGCGCATTTGATAGGCATTTTCGCCTACTCTACTAGTGATTTCTTAAATTCATTGTTTAACAAAAATTTTGTCATACTATCATTCTTAGTTTGTACATGCGTAAAACCATACCACACAATAATGATATTTCAATATTAATAGTTTCCTCATATGATAATAAAATATGAAAATTATCTAGTTTGTATTGAGTATATAGTAAATATTGAGGTATCCACCTAAAGATGACAAACTCAGTTGCCAAAGACTACCCATAACCAGAAAAAACAACTTTTGAATGATCTTAAATTTGTTTTTCTTTGTGTATCTTTTCTACGTTTTTCTTTATTACGTTTTATGATATACATAATTTCAGAAAGTTATAATATACACATTACACTTTGAAAGTATCTTGGGAAAAAACAGTCCTAAGCTATTTTATTAAAGTTTGCAAATTCATAGCTATTTGTTTTATTTTTATTGATTTTATAAATCTTTTGTCTCAGAATTTGAGTATTGAACAAATTAAATGATTGTCATTTGACATACTTGCAACTATGAAAATATAACACTCGTCCTCAAATCATATTACATAGTTTGATCTTGAATTGAATAGGTATATCTATAAATAGAATCAGGTGATTTCCTTTTAAATTCTTGAGTCAGTCGTGTCGTCGGAGAGGCAGCTATGACTCTTTATTTTTTACCCGTATATTCTACTTAAGATCATTCCACATATACCAGAGATGTAATTTCTTATCTGTCGAAGATCCAGTAAAGTTAAAAGAAGACTGGAATGAGAAAGCGACAGAAAGTTCCAAAAAGGAATTTCAGACAAAAAAATAAATAAATAAAAAGCTGTATCGGATGATGGGTTCACTTTTCACAAGGTTACCTGTCTAGAAAATTCTTAAACCCCATTACGGCAGTGTAAGTGTATCACACAATCTAATATAAGTACTGTGGAACAAAATTATCTGTCAGTGTGGACAAGTCTGAAAACAAGTTATTTATTTATCAGGCACGAAGAATCAGGGATGCAGGGCCCCTTCCCACTTTTTTCCGAACTTTGAAAATGTTCATTGAAAGACTACCCCCCCCCCCCCCATTTGCTGTGGCATAGGTAAAGTTTAGGAATTTAGTGTATTGGGGGAAAATTGGTTGTGAAAAAAAAAAAAAGTTTGAACCTACAGTGACACGGGGCCTCGGTTTTTAAGGTCTCATCCGAAAGACCCGCAACTTTCACTTCAAAGTGCCAGCGCTTGACGAAGGAACAGTTGCTACCTATTTTTTTTATCAACTTAGGTCGGTCGTGGCCGTGATTTGAACACACGACCTTCCGATCACGGCGCGAGAGCTCTACCTGAAATGGATTGAAAAGCAGGCGTAAGTGCCTATAAACATTCTCTCCATAGGTTTAGTATCAAAGGCTCACAATACTTACTTAAAGACAGGCTCTCATATTGAGCGAAACTTCAAGCAACAAAGTCGAAACTTCAAGCAACAGTAGTTATTTATAATTATATTTACGTATTTAAAAAAAAAGATCGTAAAAGTGCTCTTCAAAAAAGTAAATGTTTATACATGTTTATTTTTATTTTATTTATTTATTTATTTAGTTATTTTTTTATTTATTTATTTATTTATTTATTTTTTTTTTGAGAAGCTATACTAAGTTGGTGAAAAAAGCCTCAGTAAGTTGCTAAAGAAAATTCGATAGAAGGTTGCCCATGCCAACTATCCAAGAGAAGTGCTACAGCTTGTTTGGGGGGGGGGGATACTTGATTTGTGCATTTGAGAAGGACCATCTGGTGACATATAAAATTATTAATCGAATGACAGTACTTTTTCAGTTTTTTTTTTTTTTTTTGAAACTTTTTCAGATGACAAGACAGAAACGTTTAAAACACATTTTGTTTAAATAAATTCGTGAATGACGTCGCGAGAATGGGCTGGGAACTTTGCCCTTTCAATGTAATCTATTAATTAAAATTTAACAGAAATCAATTTACTTCATTTTTAAAATCAACGTTTGGTATCCCTGGAGCTACATTATAATGTCAAAAAACGTTGCGTCATGGTGTTTTCAAAAAAAAAAATCTCCCTTTACATTTCACACAGTTTGGTCCAATAGCCACTTATTAAAAAACTTTTCTCCATCAATTTTATTTTATATTGCTAACAATCGTACCAGTATAATTTAATTTTGTTTGTCCATGTTTTATTTCTTTTTTATCTTACTGCGTAACTATGCATTTACAAGATCAGCAACTGTGAAGCGCCTTTCTTTTTCCATGACTTTAGCAACTCAAAGTTTCTGTTTAGATTTTTACAGGAAATCCATTTTCTCACAGACCGCCCTTCTCTAATACAGAATTGTAATCATTCAAATACAGCCTCTATCATTTATACACATATGCACAAATCGCTTTTGACATTTGCTTCCTACAATATTTCAGAGTTTATTCTGAAGATTTTCAGAGTACAACACAAAATTTTGTTATATATACCTTTAAAAACGGGTTTCTATATAAATCTTTACACATTCCTAATGTTGTACTGAGCGGTCATAAAAAAAATCGAAGTTTGGCCGCGGAGTAAGATATTTGACCTGTTGATGAGAAATTGGACCGCTTACGTTAAAATTGTGGGCGGGATCAGCTAAATTTCATTTGATTTAATTAAAACAACCCTCGTATTTGCGTAGTGTCGCTAGGTTGACGTCATAACGTCAGTGTTATTTTCCAAAGAAACTATCTATATTCAGATAGCGTTGTAGGAAAATTGAGTTGAGATAATTACAAAAATTAAGCTGAATTAAAAAGATGACATCTTAGGCATGTTTCAAAAATATCTTCATCAGATTTGGGGACAGGGCCGATTTTGGTCCGTAACGTACTTTCTTCTTTATATAATATACAGTATGCATAAGGGAGACCAAATGTATTATTACTGCATTAAGGAGACCAACTACTCTCCACATGTAAATCAGTATTCAAAACTTGAGATTTTAATACCCTAATAATTTACATGTTTAGTTACATGAACTAAATCTATTTACCTTTGTCATAACGCAAGAACTGTTTTACATTCAGCCAACTTTAACATTACACATGCATACAGTGTATGCCATGCATTAGGAAGACGAGATGCATTACTTCAACATTAAAGAAACCAACTACAATGGAACAATTAGACAGTATTCCAAAAAGTTCATTCCAATACCATAGTAATTTCCCTTAATTTGTTTGTATTTAGATGACTTAAATCAATTTATCTCAGCCAGAATTGGAACAAAAAAACTAATCATAAAAGTGGCCAAACACATGAACAGACAGATGGACATGATGATTCCTATGCTTATATACTCCCAAAGTTGCCAAAGTAGAGCAGATGCAGTGGTTAGAGCGTCTACTCTAGAGTTGCAGAGAAAGAAGCTGATCCTTACATCGCGAGTTTGAATCCCACTGTGGGATGTGGAGACCCGTTCTTCAGATGAGACAGAGGTATTAACCGAGGTCCCATGTCACAGTAGGTGCTGGCTCGATAAAGATCCCTCAATGCTCAATGGCCGTAAGTGCTGAGTATAGGACAAAAATTTGCAGCTCTCCACTGACAAGTGGTGGCGTCTCCATATGAGTGAAAAATTCTCAAGAGGGACGTTAAACAACAAACACTCTACACCCAAAACTTTGTTTGCAGAAGATTTTGTGATACATGCTTTACAAGTATACATATTGTTCATAAGGGAATAAAAATGCTATAATATATCATTAAGGAAAGCAACTGAAATTAAATGTGCACTTCTAATTGAACTAAACAAAATTACCCTTTGTCAGAATGTAGATTTATAAACAGGAAGGCTGTTTTTCTTCATTTTTTCCATGTCAGATTCAGACTGTTCTTGAAAATATTCTGGCATTCACCCTGTAAAAGTGAACAGTGCAGATAATAAAGAGCTTCTAAATAAACTGCATAATATTTAAATGATCCACTTAAAAGGGATAACAAATGCATTTAACTCCATCAAGGAGACCAACTGATAACCATATATATATATAAATCAGTACATGTATTTTAATTGTGATATTTTAATATCCTAGTAATTTACATGTTTAGTTTCATGAAATAAATCTAGTTACCTTTGTCCAATGACCAATGAGCACAAGCACTGATTTTTCCTCTTTTTTCTTAACGGAATCACCAGGGCCAGTCTGCGGTCCATATGATTCTGGCATATGTACACTCTGTAAAATGCACATTTGTACCATGTACAGGCATATGAACAATATTTCTATACTACATACATGCATCATTAAACTTAATAATCTTTTTTTTCCAAAATTCATTATTCATAGTGTTTTGCTGTTAGCAAAATTCAACAAAAACTATACCATATATATACTTGCCTATAAGGTGGTCCACCTATAAGTCAGTTGTATTTTTTGAGGTTATTTTGGAGGGATTTGCTATTGACCCGCTTATAAATTAGTACAACTTTTTGCCAGAATCAATTGACAATTTCAAATCAATGCTCTGATGTTTTAACCTGGTTTCAAAATACTAATCTTTTTATGACTCACCTATAAGCTGGACATAGATTTATATACAGTACCTGCATTATACATGCATTAGGAAGACCAAATGCATTATTGCAATATTAAAGAGACCATGCATTGTGGTAAATGAAATCAATGTATGAATTGTATTCAAAACTACGGGTGTACTAATTTGTCTGAAGTATATCATGATATAATGTGATACACAAAGCAATGATTTTTCTACACCCAATTTAGGTCCGAATATCAGCCCTTTCCCCTAGCAAAAATAACCAATTTTTTTCCCAATTTCAGTCACTTTTTCCCCCCAAAAAACTGTTCTTGTTTTTGTTATATTGAATATTTTTTTAAGTACGACATATCTAAAATAGAACACTATTGTTCTCGGTCATTAAAACTCTCAAAATAATAGTGAAGAATAGCTGATTATTTTGCATGTCACAAGACATAGAAAAACACATGGATCATGTCAAATGTCAAACTAAATACCTAAGAAATTGTGAGATGCATGTGAACCGGCAAAACATAGCTTTATTTGTAAATCCAAGTACTAATAGTTCTACAACAAGCCTGATACCATGAAAATCAAACTGTTTCTGCACCCGGCAGATGCAACTAATATTGCAGGGTAACTGCAGCAATATGATTAGGATAATTTATCTAGAGTGGTTCAGTATTATGTTTTTCACGTTTATAATTTTCAGAACGCTAAGCCTTCTTTAATTTGAGTAAGAAAATCTTCATATCACTCTCTTTAGTTTGATTCAGCGTGTTTGTGTTTTAATCAAAACAATTTCTGCACTCTTTCATTTAGCATAGATTTAATTCATATGTTCTTCGCACGGCTTCCATTTTGAGGTGTCAACTGACGGTAAACTAATTGACGTGGTCACGTGACCCCGTCTAAAAAGCATTAATAACTAGTAGAAAAAATGATTTGTTATAATCATGTCAGGTTATATCATCTTCAATGGCTATTATGTCAGTAGGATTTTCTCTTATGTTTACCATTACGGCAAAAAAAGGAATGGAAATTTAGGAAGGTCTCAATTAATGACAACTTTCAAAGATAAAAAAAAGTTAAAAATGTACAACTGTGTCTTATTTGTTATTTTGTAGTAAATATTTTGAATAAAAGATGTTACATTATATACATTACTTATAAATTTTATTTTACCTGTCAATTAAGGTTAATTTCAATCTTGTTATTGATTTTTCCCAAGTTGATACAAATGTCAATAATTTTTCCCAATTGTAAAGGCCCGGGCCCCTTTTAAAAATGTAGAAAAATCACTGCAAAGACTTTAACAGGATATGTACATATACCCACATGCCTAAATGTAACAACAGGAATTATCGTTCTACAATAATTTATTGAAATTGCCAATATGAATAAACAAAAGCAAACTTTGTTTCGATTGTATGAACTTTAAGTTTTCTTTTTCCACTACGGTCAGATAATCTAACTATCCCCCCTGGTTGGCTACCGGGTCCTTCGTTAGACTGCCTTATCGGACATGAAATTTACTGAAGATTTGATTTTTGGTACTGACTTTTATACTCAAAATAATGTCTTTAATTGTTTAATTTCTTGAGGCCAATATCACTTTGATGTGTTCAGTGTTTACTTTGATATGTAATGATGTGTATAAGCGTGTATTTTCGATAATTTAAATTTCTAGTACAGTAATCGTCCCCAAGCTGCTGTTTCATTATCGTGTCATAGTATCTCTGAGAGTGCATTTTGTTAACACCTCCAAATCACCTGGCCTGCGTAATTAAATTTAACTACCAAAAACAACAGCTTGGGACTAATAAGGTGTGATTATCAGCAATGGTCCCATGAAGCCTGTGCTAGACCTAACGGAAACGTTCAACAGACCGTAAAATTAGCATAATGGGATTATTGTGTACTAAGGTGTGAATTCAGTGGAGCAAGAATTTGTTGGACTTCGAGATAACACATGTGTTTATAGCACTTGGGACCATAAATCTACTTCGAGATAAGCGAGGTATTCGAGATTTCCCTGTTCGAGATACCGGGGTTTTTAAAAATCATAAATATAACAAAAACGGCTGGGACCGTTGATTCACTTCAAGATATCCGTGGTATTCGACATACCGGTGTTCGAGATACCGAAGTTTACCTGTATATCGATACATATCTAGATTAATGAATATATCGTATCAAAACAAGAGGCCCATGGGCCACAACGCTCACCTGAGCACATTGGCTAGGAAAAAGCACAAATCACTTCAGTACTGAAAAGTTTAAAGGGGAGGGGGCTTGGATTTTGAACTACCTGAGGATGCTTCCATATCAATATAACAAATGGCTTTACTGTTCTTGAGCAGAAGATTTTTAAAGATTTTTTTCCTATATATTCCCTTGTTAAAAATTTGATCCCCCATTGTGGACCCTCCCTAACCCCCCCCCCCCCTCCATCATTTGAACAAACTTGAATCTACACTACCTGAGGATGCTTTCATATCAATATGACTAAACATGGCTTTTCTGTTGATGAAAAGATTTTTTCCTATATATTCCTATGTAAAAATTTGATCCCACATTGTGGCCCCACCCTACCCCTGGGGTTTATGATTTGAACAAACTTGAATCTACACTACCAGAAGATGCTTCCATATCAGTATGACAAAACATGACTTTGCTGTTCTTGAGAAGAAGATTTTTGAAGTTTTTTCCTATGTATTCCTATGGAAAACTATGATCCCCCATTGTGGTCCCACCCTACCCCCAGGGGTCATGATTTGAACAAACTTGAATCTACACTACCTGGGGAAGCTTCCATATCAATATGACAAAACATGGCTTTGCTGTTCTTAAGAAGAAGATTTTTGAAGTTTTTTCCTATGTATTCCTATGTAAAACTTTGATCCTCAATTGTGGCACCACCCTAACCCTGGGGTCATGATTTGAACAAAGTTAAATCTACACTATCTGAGAATGCTTCCATATCAATATGACTTAACAAGGCTTTGCTGTTCTTGAGAAGAAGATTTTTCAATTTTTTTTTCTGTATATTCCTATGTAAAACTTTGATCGCCCCTTGTGGCCCCACCCTACCCCGAGGGGTCATGATTTGATACAAACTTGAATCTTCACTACCTGAGGATGAATTAATCCACATCAATATGACTAATTGTGACTTTGTTGTTCTTGAGAAGAAGATTTTTCAAGATTTTTTTCTACATATTTCTATGTAAAATTGTGATCCCCCATTGTGGCCCCACCCTACCCCTGGGGTCATGATTTGTACAAAATTTAATCTACACTACCTGAGAATGATTCCATATCAAAATGACTAATTGTGGCTTTGTTGTTCTTGAGAGAAAGGTTTTTAAAGATTTTTTTTCTATAAATTCCTATGTAAAATTTTGATCCCCCATTGTGCCCCCCCCCCCCCCGCCCGGGGGTCATGATTTTGTACAAACTTGAATCTACACTACCTGAGGATGCTTCCATATAAATTATGACTAATTGTGGCTTTGTTGTTTTTAAGAAAAACAATTTCAAGATTTGTCCTACATATTTCTATGTAAAACTTTGATCCCCCATTGTGGCCCCACCCTACCCCTGGGGGTCATGATTTGAACAAACTTGAATCTGCACTACCTGAGGATAATTCCATATCAATATGCCTAATTGTGGCTTTGTTGTTCTTGAGAAAAAGATTTTTTAAGATTTTTTCTATATATTCCTATGTAAAACTTTGATCCCCCCTTGTGGCCCCATCCTACCCCTGGGGGTCATGATTTGAACAAACTTGAATCTACACTACCTGAGGATGATTCCATATCAATATGACTAATCGTGGCTTTGTTGTTCTTGAGGAGAAGATTTTTAAAGATTTATTCCTATATATTCCTATGTAAAACTTTGATCCCCCATTGTGGCTCCACCCTACCCCAGGGGGTCATGATTTGAACAAACTTGAATCTACACTATGTAATGAAGGTCTCACCTAAGTTTCAACTTTTACAGCCCAGTGGTTCTTGAGAAGAAGATTTTTAAAAGATACCACTAAATTTTCACTAATTCTTAATTATCTCCCCTTGAAAGAGGGTGTGGCCCTTCATTTGAACAAACTTGAATCCCCTTTACCCAAGGATGCTTTGTGACAAGTTTGGTTGAAATTGGCCCAGTGGTTCTTGAGAAGAAGATGAAAATGTGAAAAGTTTACGACAACGACGACAGACAACGGACAAATTTTGATCAGAAAAGCTCACTTGAGCCTTTGGCTCAGGTGAGCTAAAAATAACTTAATTCCAATACATTTTGGGCAGGCAGTTTTTTTTATGTAATTCTGTGAAAAACTTGGGAATTTCAATCACCAAAGATTATATTTACCGGTAATTGTTTTGAATTAAAACTGATCAAAAATGATATAATCATTAAGGAGGTAGCACATCTTAAATGATTATTACAAAATCATAAAAATACATAGACAACTTTACTTAACATGTTGATTTTACAGTCAAGAAAAGTTTGAATTTGAAGTGTAATTTTTAAAGACGGTGAGACAAAAAATAAAAAATGAGAAAAAAAAATTATTATTTTTATAAAATTCATGCATAATGATTTATAAGACTTTTTTGATAGAATTGTTAAAGAATTCAATATATTGCATATCACATTAAAAAATGTCTTTTTTTTTTTTTTTTTTTTTTTGCTCAATACACAGCCCTAGCAAAAATGATATACAACAAGGACTTTGATTGGATTATTAACATTCATTCGATTGATCATAATTACTAACTGTTATTGCACTTTCATTTTCAAAATGTTGCTAGGTACATTGTTTGTTCACTCTTTTGCATTGATATTATAATTTTATAAAAGAGTATTTTAGCAGAAAAAATTATCAATTTACCTTTCTTGGAATAAAGACATGTTGACCCTTGAGCTGAGATTTTCTCTCTTTCCATAGATTTGTTACACTGGGGTCCACATGATTCTAGCAGAGACCCTGTAAAAAAGGACTTAACTATGGAAAAGCATGAAGAATATATGCCTATTATACATATCTTAAATTCTAATGAAAACAATGTTTTTTAATTAAGATCCATATATTTCTAATGATTGACATAATACAAATTCAAAATAAAATATGCATGTCTATATTATACACTGTACCTTAAGCAGACCAATTGCATTATTACATCCTTCAGGAGACCAACTTAAATCAATGTTTGAGAACTACTTGTGAGAACAATAAATTTGTCTACTTTACAGTACTAAATGTACATGGAATCTATAGGATCATGTTACTTTAATTGACCTGCCTTAGTTCAACACAGTAATCTAACAAAGAAATTGAGCCAAAACAACATTTTAAGACTTTTTGAACAGTGCATGTTCCTATCATTTCAAAACCATTACCAGTAAAAATGCTAATACATGTATAGGAAAATGATGACAATTAATTAATATTGTACTTTCAGGTATATTAGATGAATTAATCTGATTCGTCAAGAAACATTTGTTAAAAAGCACTATTATCCGCTGAATAATGAAGCCACGCCCAGTGTCGCAACAGTCAACATTGCTTGACGACGGGTGATATTCCAAAAAATAGTGACTGCGCAGATTTATGCGCTCAAGGTTCACTATTATCTGTATTTGTATAAAACATTCAGTATAATATAATAAATATTGCATGTAGTTGAGTGTAATATTGAAAATTTTCACCCCTCGAAAACCAAATACGTCAAAAAGGGGATGGGTTTCTTTTCCAACTTCTACATAGTTTCGCCCCTGCAAAAACTGGTGTAGACCTTGGAAATGTTTAAACGGGCTAAGAGAAATCAAATGCATCAAGAGTACTTAATTGTTTTTACCCAAGTTACATGCCAAAAAAGATTCAGAGAGACGTCACATAAAGTTAACGTTGATTTGAACTGAAGTTAGGGTGTCAAAAGTCATTCACGTCCAAAAGTGACATTGATCATGTGTGGTAGATAATAAACTCCTACGGGCTAAATATGCTGCCATAATCAAGTGAGGATCTTTCCCTAATCCTATATATAAATCCATTTAGTACAATATTATATGCACTTAAGCAGCTGTTTATGACATTGTAAAATTATATAAACAAGACCGGTTTATATAATTTATATCAATTTATATAATTAATAATATAATTTATGTAATTTTATCAGATAAGTGTATGGGGTAGAGGGAGCAGACATTGAGAATCAATGTTGTCGGGCCTCATGAAACTAAACTAACAGTCTTCCAAATAACCCGGGAGTCCAATGCCAGGGACCTGTTAAATTTGCAGCCGGGCATGTAAAAATTGCCAAATTACATGTCCGAAGAGGGCATATCTGAATCTTCTTTCATTGTACGATCTTTACTTGCCATTTACTCTGTCCTACCCCCATTATTCGCTTAAACGTTGCTATATGTAATGTCGATGGATTGCCTGTCTACATTCTCGATACGACCTGTCAAATGATTGTCAATCTAATCATTGAAGTGTTTAGTTTAACCTATTTGTTTTCTCGAAGTTGCTTGCTAAATTACAAGATGTTCATCAATGCCACATACTGTGGCACTACAGTCATGATCCCATTTCTGAAATTCAGTTCAGCTAAACCGGCCAACAAATGACCAGCATGCAACTCAAAAGTTATTTATGAACAAAAACGCTTTAGAAAATGGCAATCACAGGCCATGGTTGGTTTACGACGCTGAAAAAATTAATATAAAACCTTTATACCTAACGGGTTTTTTTTGTTGCACAATACTGGTAAATGTAAGAATTTTGAGTAGGACATGTACAAATTTGAATGGGCTGGGTAAAAATGATAGGTCTACATGCCCGAAGGGCATGTGCTGAAAAAGAATTGTTGTGAAGACTGAACTAAAGCGACAGCGCCGGGTGATCATATAAAGTCCCCTTTATTACATAATAATTTGGCAAATTATCAACACATCAAGCGAAAATTTCCAACATATCTTAACGGTGAGAATTTTTATTTTTTAAGTTGAAACCTCGTGACCTGTGAAAAAAATGAAATTTGTATCCCATCTAAAGTCTTAAAATGTATCAAGGTAATTTTCGATACAAATTTGTGGTTGAGGTTATAAATGAAAGATAAAACCAGAGACCTCGGAATGGAATACTCGGATTAGTCTCTGGTTTTATTCTACCCCCAACTGGAAGTTGTATCCCATCTAAAGTCTTAAAATGTATCGAGGTAATTTTCGTGGAATAAATGAGTGCTTTACAATAAAGAGACTCGACCAGAGATGTCTGAAACGATTTATTTGACAAGAAAAAAGTCTCTTGAAGCGAACGATGTCATTTTAAAGTAGGTTAATGATTGATAATGATACATGAACAAAATACGAGCTTGAAGCGGGGGTGCCTGAAATTGAGTTAGATACCTTGTGGTAAAAATAAGTAGGGGTGCACCGTATATGAAACAAGTGCCTGTGATTGATAGTCTGAAATTTCTCTTCACCTAAATATTAAAAGCTTGCAGTGATCGCTATAAATCTATACAACAGTCAAGTTACATATGGTAAACTAACATAAAAACAAGATTACAACAGTCATGATTACAGAAGGTATATTTTGAAGACTCTAGGTCAGTAGGTGAATGTAAACAGGTAAACACACGTGGGACAGTCACCGCAAATATGAACCACAAAACGACTTATAACATTAAATATTCATCTGCACACAGATTTTTGCATAATAATAATAATTTTTAAAAGTGTAAATTAAAATATAAAATAAACAAACCTCAAACCTTGTAACAAGGCTTATTTCCCTACAATCTTATTCTGGTTCTCTGAGGTTCACTGAAAATGCAGGGAACCAGGCTGCGTTATTAACTCGTACACAGATTTGTTGATACGCATAAACCTATAAACATATATACGAAATAAAATATTATCATAAAAAACGAAGAATTTCAAATTGCTTGAAAAATTATCTTTATGTAGTTTATAATAAAGGGTTGTGATTGTTTATTAATTTCTATCTATCCATTAAAATTTGATACGTATATCAGCTTAATATGTATCCGTCTGAACAATTATTGTTATTACACTCCCTGTCACATCTTCATAGTTAAGCCTGTAAGCATGGTAAGTAGGAATCAATTTCAGTTGAAGGGGACCAAAACCAAACATTTTTCAGTTTCATTTGGTGGGGAGGGGGGGGGATATAAACCTCAAATGATTATTTTATCTCTGTCACTGAACTGCTGAAAATAATGAAGGGAACAAGGCTGCGACAATGATTTGTTGACAGAATTAAAATACGAAATAAATTATCATACATACGAAATAAAATAATTTCATGAAAAAATGAAGAATTTCCAATTGCTTAAAAAAAAGAAGCTTTTCATGTATGTGATTTACAATAAATGGTTGTACTTTTATATTTTCTATATATCCATTAAAATTTCACAGTATCAGTATTTCACTATTTGTAAACATTAACAATAATATTAAATAAATGTTACACTCACTGTGGCTTTGACTGAGTTACTGTCACATCTTCATAATTTAACGAGAATATTCCCTTCCGTAAATATTGCTATATATATCTGAACTGTTACCAATTCATCTTTCTTTGGTGAAAGAAAAACTCAGGGATGGAGAATAGGCCCGTACGTAATTTAGTTGGAGGGGGGGGGGGGTGAGCACAACCAAACAACATTTTTCAGTTTCAGGTTGGGGGAGGCTACAAACCAAAAAAATTTTTAATAAGCAAAAGAAAAATACATTATCAAAGGTTATTATTGAGGGGGCCCAAGCATAAAGGAGCAATGTTTTCTATAGTATACCTAAATTTCAACAAAATTACAGGGGGCCTGCCCCCCCCCCCCCCCGTTCCTTCAGCCATGCATTGTATCAAATCTGCTTCACCCTGATTCAGATTTTTTTACAGCATATATATTCTATTAGCAGAGGACCACATTATATTAATAAACAATTATTAAATTACAGCTATTTTTTTCTTACAGGGTCTGTTTCATTTATACTATATCATGATGAACATGTCCTGCATGATGTTTACAGAAAGTTTAATTTAAATTTTTAAGCTCGAAATAGCTGCGTCAACTTGCGAGACTATTTTTTCAACGTTCGGCCTAATCTTTAAATATTTAATTTGTTTGTGGACTTGCATAAAAAAATTAAAAAAATATAGGGGCCTATCATGTATCATTTAACTTTATTTCGAATTTCCTTCAGGATTTTATATACCGAACTATAGTCTAACGATTATTTAAAATCATACTTTTTCTCTTGAAAGCTAAATTACTAGGCAAAAAAAAAAAAAAAAAAAAAAAAAAAAAAAAAAAAAAACAAAAAACCAAACGAATGTTTGTCTTGTGTATTCTTAATTACAACTTATTACTGTATCATTTTAGTTACTTACCCAAATTTCTCAACATCCATGGTGTTCAGAGGTCATTTTCTGAAAACTGAAGGGGCATTCCGATGGCATTCGGAACAAATGACGGAAAGCACTTGCTAAGAATTCAAAACATGGTTCATAAATTTACAATATTTTTCCTTTTTAGGTTTTTAACATAAAACATGGAAAACTAAGTTAAAGAAACACTCATTTGAACAAATCAAAAGCGGAAAAAATATATACGCTAGATTTTTTGTTTAATTGCATGTTTTTCATGGTCTCCAAAATGCAGAAAAATTATCCTTTGAAATTATACGTAGGTTATAAATTCTTTTCTTTTTTAGGGAAGATGATAGAAATTAGACAACTTTTGAATGTTAAATAACAGAGTTAAAGATTAATAATATTTAATGGCAGACTGTTTATTTATCTATAAAAAGACATTTGCAATACTGATGAGGTCAAAATAATAGGGAGACCGAAAAAGGTCGCCTTAATCCAGTGGTCTCCCTAAGCCAGAAAATATATCCTCCTTGGTCTCCTAAAGCCATATGTCATATATATATATATATATATAATCAAAATAATCAAACCAAGTATCAAAAATTAAGAAAAGTGAACAATAATAGGAAAGATACGATTTTCAAAATGATAATCTAAGTAATCAAATTTTACTCATCTGCATCATATAGTTCCAAGCAAAATTCTTCTTTTCTCTGTTAACCTTATTTCGTATATAAATAAATATAAAAGCTCTAAAGTATTAATAAAAATATTATTAAAAAATTTAATATACAGGAAGTTATCATTTTTAACGGGTGATTCATATACCAAAATGCATTGAATCCAGTGTATTTGTAATACACACTATTTATAGCAATTTGAAATTCAAAAGGAGGCGGGGATTTCTAATCAAGTGAAGGAACACTTGCGGGTTATATAGAATACCAAACAATGAGTTCTTGGAGAATTACTTGATTCACACATGAAATAGTCACCTCTTCATTATAAACTTGTATGTTTATATTTCACATAAGTAGACATAATTTACCAACTGAAGGATGCTTAGTGAACAAAAGCCAAAAAAATGCCGCCATATTGACGTGAATACAAGTAATTACCGCGATACTCTCCTCTTGCATTATCTTGTCTGTTCGGTTCGTAACAAAGAAAAACAGTATTCGAGTACGACCTGTAACGAGCAGATGTTGAGTAACACGGGTCAATGGAAAAACCTATACAGCACATGTTTACATTCATCAGGATATCTTATTAGGATATTAATGACTGATCCAATGCAATTAAGAGCACAAAAACGTCGAGCTGATCCAGACATTGATACAAGTTATACGTCACTTGATGCTACTGGACACGAGAATTGCAGATGGGTCTTAATTTGAATGCGAAGGATCATTTTTTTCCCCTGATGTGATGGAATCCGGCGATGATTTCCTGCGCCAAACAAAACATGTATAGATTTTTTCATAGTGTAATATAGGTGGAACTGGAACTTTTAAATCTTATTCTAAATAGTTTTGTCCTTGGCTTGAAAGAAATGAATATTTTAATCTTCCATAACATCTTTTTTTTTTCTTCATTTATATTCTATCTATTGTAGTAGATTACTGCCATACACATAGTATATTTGTCTGACAATATATAGATTGTATATCTATTTTATACCTTATGAATATTTACAATGGTTTCTAATTTTTTTCTTCATATTTTGGAGTGGGGTTAGGGGGTGGGGAATGGTCAATTCTTGTATCATTTTTTTCATTTTTAAGTAATTTAAAATACAAGTAAATGGCAATAACGGTCGTTGTAACTTTTAAAAACTTGAAAAAAAGATAAAAGGAAATATGATCTGTCGCTTTTCTATAATATTTTACGAATAGGTCGGACGGATCTAGTCAAGATGTTGAAAGGAACATCCAATAAAAACGTTAACGTTACTGTTACCTTCAACAGAGAAACTGTATACATCTGCATTATTGAAGCTGGTACATATTTTTTTTTCACTGTTCATTTAAAAATGATCGTTTGAATATCAAGCTTTTTTTCAAGGAAATGCAATGGAGATTTCTTTCACTTACAGTATATGTAGTCAGACTTTACGCCGTATTTATCCTCAGTTGGTTGTTGCTTATTCTGGGTACACGAGGTAAAATATAGTAAAGATCTAATAAACTTGAACTGATCATAAGATAAAGATTTCCACGGGTTCTGTCAGTACATAGCAATTATGAGTAAACAGCTGCACTGGTGGGACGGACATGATAAATTGATTTATGAACACCGCATCATATTATTAAAACTCTATAAAACATTTTGTCTATAATGTAAACTATGAAGTGTTTAAATATTATTAAATATACAATATTTAAAGCGATCAGAAATTTCAAGAAGCACAATCTTTCATGCTGTCCCATATATATATATAATTATATATATATATATAACTTTGCTTAGGCTGTAAGTTCATACACATAAGAAGTATTTATTAAATCACAAACAAATATTGTGTATAACATAAATATTGCTAGGAATGAATTTCTGTCTTTCATTCTTTAAAAAAGGGACACTTAAATAAATAAATTAATTCATCACCATCATCAATCAATACTATAATTGGCAGGTTATTACTCAATCTTACGCATCGAAATTGCGCAAATAGAATCTAAGATCAGAGGTATTCTCAACGTACACATTTTGAAGAATTAACAAGTTTCAAGTTTTTATTTAAGACAAAGACCCCAACTGGATTATATGAATACACAAGATACAACAAAATAGCATACAAGCATGAATGAGTGGCACTAATGTTAATTACTATATACAAGTATAGTTCAAAACATCAAAGTATAGAAGGCCTCTGCTAGTATTAAATAAATCTATATGTATTGCAACATTTTTTAAACAGTAGTTTTGTTATTATTAATTTATTAATGACAATAAAATTTTGCAAAATTTGGCAAGTCCAAAAATGACTTTAGCGTTCTTACAATTTAACAGGTCATGAAATTTGATACATTAGGGTTAGCATAAAAATATTTGGGGAAAGTTTTCTCGTTCTCCTTTGAAAATAGCACATTCTAAAAGATAGTGGAATTCGTCTCCTAAATTGTTAGAGGAACAAAGATCACAAATACGATCATCTCTTTCAACAACCCAAAAGTGACCTTTCTCAATTGGAAATCTGTGATTCATACATCTAAATTTACATAAAGCTTTTCTCAAATCCTTTGGAAGATAAATCAAATATTAATAAATATCTTAGATTCAGAATTAAGAATAATAGAGTTATCTTTCCATAAAAAAAAATGCACAAAGAGCTAGGAAAGGTAACTCTTTTCCAAATCTGGTACTTGAAGAAGTATCCTCCCTTTCCATGATAAAATAAATAGAGGATATTCAATGTTT